GGACCGCACAAAGGCGACTGCGGCCGCACAGCCTCCACCGCGGACCGCACAAAGGTGACCGCAACCGCGCTGGCCCCTCCGCGGTCACACGCGATTTCTCGCGGACCGCACTAGAGAGTTCAGAGACCGCAACTTCCTGAACCTGCAACATCTGACTTTCTAAGACTAAGGCATTCCGGAGCCCACTCGAAACTCACCTGAGCCCTTGAAACTCCAACCCAAGTATACACACAACCTCAAAAATATCCTACGGACATATTTGTGGACTCAAATGACCAAAATAATATCACGAGCATCGAATTAAACCTCGAGATCAATAAAATTTCTCAAAACTCTTTTAAACATCAAATTTCTCAATTAAGGTCCGGATCACGTCAAACGACGTCCGTTTTTAACCAAATTTCACAGGAATGACTCAAGTCATATACAAGACCTGTACCGGGTGCCAAAACCAAAATATGGGCCCGATACCATTGCTTTCTAATCAGTTTTCACTTCGAATTTCCTTAAATAATTTCACTTGAAAATTCATTTCTCGGGCTAGGGACCTCGGATTCCGATTCCGGGCATACGCCCAAGTCCCATGTTTTCCTACGGACCCTCCGGGACAGTTAAATTACGGGTCCAGGTCCGTTTACCCAAAATGTTGACCGAAATCAAATTTATTCATTTTAAAGTCAAGACTTAACATTTTTCACAGAATTTCATATTTAAGCTTTACGGCTACGCGCCCGGACTGCGCACGCAAATTGAAGCGACTCTAGATGAGGTTTTCAAGGCCTCGAAAGCACATAATGGGTAAGAAAACAGGTAATGACCCTTTGGGTCGTCACAGCTTGGGCTCATATATACGAGGGTTGTCAACTTCTCAGTTTGTATAACGAAGAAACTCAGGATATTCATAAAACGTTATAAAATACTACAATAAAATTAAAGAATACTTTATTGGTGTAAAAATTGTTATAATCTGAGGGGATAACATTTCACTTCTCTCTGTTTGAATCTTGAGAGATTTCAAGAAAATGGCACTGTGGAACTTTCGAAAGGTTAATTTATATGCGTCGTGACCCAAATTTAATAGAGTCAAAACTCAAAACCTCTACAAATTAAGTCCTACTTTGATAAAATCAAATCGGTTTGCCTATTATATTTCTGTTTATATATTTCATTCGTACTATATAAAGGTATTATATTAGATCTGTCAGAGTTGTAAAATAATATGAAATAGTACTATTTATTTTTAAAAGGGATCCTTTTCTTATTTGAGGTAAAATCTCAATTGAATTTTAAATTCTAAATATTAGGACCTAATTCAATAAGGAAAGATTGAATAAAAAAATTTAAATGATTTTAAATTCCTAAATATTAGGAAAGTAACTGAAATTATAATTTTTTCAAATACTAAATTTATTTTTAAAAGGTAAAAAGACGAACAACATTTTATTAAGGGTATTCATACTTTTAATATAGTATAGATTATTATTTACCTTTGGGCTTTGATCTTTTGCGAGCTCATCGTACAACTCGGGATCTTTGCTGCAAAAAGAAAATGCAAGTTGAAAGGTTAGAAATGCTGAATTTACAAGGTTAGTTTTGGCAAAAAAAGATTACACAAAAGACTAGAAGAAACTGTTCAAATAAGAAGAATATTGTTTTTTTTTTCGGGAAAAAAAAAAAGAATCTAAACCACATTTCAGATCTTTACTTTTGTATTTCTATTATCATAAAAACCTGAACATCTGGAACATATATAATGCTGTTACAATGACTTCCTTTCCCCTCTCAAAACCGAAGATTCGGACAATCTTTTTATGCCTTTTACGGCAGAGTAATAACTTACTCATATTTCTCAGTCTTGAAGTAAGCGAATCCGGAGCGGATCCTCTCATCCGGGTTAAACTCTTTCTTTGCTCCTCCATTAGTGGCGTTTTCATATGATTCCTCAGCCATTTTCTTGACCTGCAAACCACGAGAGATAGTTGTCAATTGGCCGTGAGAATAAAGTCACCCATAATAAGTTGATAAGTATAAAAAAAAACTACATAGCAAGAATGTACATAAACTCTTAATGGTATAAGGTCTATCAGAAAAAACAAGCGAATAGTATATATCATACTAAGTTAAGAGTTTTGGTCCAAAAATGATAATAACATGTCTAANTGAGAGATAGTTGTCAATTGACCGTGAGAATAAAGTCACCCATAATAAGTTGATAAGTATAAAAAAAAAACTACATAACAATAATGTACATAAACTCTTAATGATATAAGGTCTATCAGAAAAAATAAGCGGATAGTATATATCATACTAAGTTAAGAGTTTTGGTCCAAAAATGATAATAACATGTCTAACGATAAACAAAATATTAAAAACAATCTCATTAAATTTTTTAACTTGTTCCTTTTTTGAAGCCCCTTAGCAAAAGTCTTTCCTCCGCAACTGCCGTTAATACGTCGATGTTGTTTAATTGTACATCCATCTACATACATGCATTCACAGTTCCTTTTGGACATTGTTCTGAAGGAATTTGTAACTACTACCACAGTAACGAGTAACGACGATGACATGGATCTTGAAATTTATCTAATCAACCGTGTTTTCTAGCTAGTCTTTAACAAGTTTGAATTAAACTTTCAAACATAGAACTACTATATATAGTAGTAAACAATGCAGCATGAAATAAACGAGTGAAACTAAATTGGTTTGTTTGCTGAGTTTTGGTAGGGAAAATCACATGGTTAGAAGGTCATAACTGAGACGTGGGCACGCGTAGGCACGAGCGCATTTGTTTAATATAAAATACAGCTTTCCCATGTTGTGTGATCCCATGCATGTATGATTATTGTATTTGACTAATCATATAATGCTACATCAAAACTTCTCAAATCCCAATAACGATAACGTATATATGAGATTTGACGGATTAATTGTTTGTGTTTATTCCAAATTGATGTACTAGTTGATTCTTTGAAAACATTACATAATTAGGAACTACAAAAAAGATATTATGATTTGTAAATTTATCTTAAAATATTTTAAAAACCTGTATCCACTCCTCAATAATAATGGTACCATTTTATTGGGGGATAAAGTACCGTTAAAATTTAAACTCGTTTCACATTTTCTATGACACTAAAGCTTGGGGTCTAAAAGTCGTACGTCTTGAACAGTGAATCATATAGTAAATTGTAATAGTATATAGTGGTAAAATGGGATTTTAATTTATTTTTTTTGAATAATGAATCAAAATATCACGTCCAACTATTTTGAAACATTACAAAGTAAAAATAAAGGGAAAAGATACAAATGATGTGATGATCGATATGTTATTTTGAATTTTAACCTTTATTTCAGTGTTTCGAAACCTCGATTATCTCTCAATTTGGTGCGCGGTCTGTGTCTTATTCCAAAAGACTTTATGTGAATGATTGAAGAAAGTATAAATTTTTGCCTTAAAAATAATTCGAGTTGACTATAGTCAACATTTTGTATAAACGAACCCGGATCAGTATTTTAACGGTCCCAGTAGATCTATATCGTAATTTGGAACTTAGGCGTGTCACACCTCCTTTTTGCGCGCCCGCCCCGAAGGATTAAATGCGCGAGGGGAGTTTTTCCAATTTAAGTGACAATATTCGAAATGAGATTATTTATTTAATTCAGAGTCGCCAGTTGGGAAAGGTTTGGTTTTTGGTGTCCTAAGTCACCAGTTTATCTTGAATCCCAAATCGAGGAAATTTTCGACTTTTCCAAATGAAGTTTGCGAACCAGAAATTCTAAGTAAGGAATTCTGTTGACCCGAGGGAAGGTGTTAGGCACCCTCGAATCTCGTGGTTCTAGCACGGTCGCTTAAATTGTTATAATGGCTAAATATCTGATTTAAATACATGTTGTGACTTATGTGCTTTTATTAAGTTTAAACCGCTTTTATTATTATCATTTATTTTTATAGAATTGCAACGTCGTGAAAATGCATCTCGAACCACGTCACAATCAATGCACCCGTAGTTGTTAACACATCCGACTCCGTTGAGATTTTAATTAGGGTCACATAAAATGCGCACCCGAATTTAAGAATGTAATTTAATTAAGTCGCGCCTAAAGAGTCTAACGCGTTATTATCTTTGGGGAAGGCAGTGAAATTCACTAAACAGTCCATCCCAAATTCTAAGTATTTAATATATATACACTTATGAGGGCCCCGCAGTTTGTGTCTCTTATTTGGCGAGGCTCGTCTCATTTTGTGAAGAAGGTAAACCTACAATGATTACATCTTTATTATGTTCGTCTCTAATGAATGGAGAAAGAAATTACATTCTAAGTAAATTGCATGCTTGGCCGATTCCGGATTCTTGTTTAATTATCTGATAAGGTTGTTTATGAGGTGGGAATTATCTCATGCCTTATCTCAACGAGTGATTATGCATTTAATTTGCTAAAGGAGATTGCAAACAAGATTAATAACAAATACTACACTTACACTAAATGTTCTTCAAATTCGAATTTAAACTAACTTATTTGGGCTCGATTAATGAAATCGGCTACTTATTAGAAGATGCTACTAGTTGAATTAGAAACTGCCTAATGGAATTCAGACGTAACGAAGTTAAATTAAATGGTTTAAAGCTATATTGTGTCTGTCCAAGTTAGTAGCAATCTATCTTATACATACAGAATATAACTAAAAATGAAGTCTAGTTATTGGTGTACCAATTACTCGTGCATTCCACGAGTTACATAATTACATCATACGCACAACTAAACAAGAAAACCATTGTAAATCAAGATAATTAAACAAACCAAGTTGTTAATTAAATATAAAACTAACTGTTGTATCCTCCTATCAAGTTACAATCTAAAGGCTTGCACAAATTTACTAACACTTTATAAGACTATAAGTGCAGCACCGAATGACTAAAAGTTCTTCGCGTCTTTCATTTCAACTCATTGTTATTGTTACATCAATGTGAGATTCGAAAATGTGTACCTAGATGCTGAAATGCAAAGAAGAAAATGGAAGTAGAAAGTCAGCAACAACTAAGATGGCAGCAGTGACCACAAATAAAAGCAACGAGTAGTAGCAGTAGCAACAAATAACAGCAGAACAAATCCAGTGCAAGGATACAACTATATCCGATGGAAAGCAGTAGCAAAATGGCAGCAACGAACAGTGGAGTAGAATCAAAAACCCCAGATAGGCCAAATCCAGAAACAACCAAGGAAACAAACAACCAGTAAACTCAGTTGGGACTTGGGAAAAATCAGTGTTGATCAAACAGGTCGAAACAAGTGAAATCAAGACAACAATGGAAGAACAGTTTCTAATTTTTGTCTGTCTATTTTCTATCTCTCCTCCTCTATCTATCTGTCTGTTTTCTTTATCTGTCTCCTGTATATATGCCCCTCTCAATGTGTATCTCTGTATATGCCTGTCTATCTCCCCCTGATTTCTGAATTCTCTTTGATTTTTCAGAACTATCTCTTTCTAATTTTCAGGACTTCTTTTGCTGAGTTTCAGAACTAAAACCCTGCCCTTTCTATTGCCTGATTGAATCTTTTAAATTCAGAAATTGTTTTCTTTCCTCCTCCTTCTCTCTTTTGTATGTGTGTATCTGTATGTGTATATGTCTCCCCATTTTCTATTTGTTCTCCTCCTTCTAATGGAAATCCCCCCTATTTATAACTTTTCCCAGACCAGTCACAACCTGTAAAACCATACAGACTCCCTCTTTTTCTGCTGTTTTTCCACTCAAACTTTTAAAAGTAGAACCCCCCATGAGATTCCCTGACAGCCCTTTTATTATCTTATTAAACTAAAACAAGGGTATGGGCAGCTTGAAGATGTCCTCACAGCACGTGCTGTCCCATTTGCTCTAATTATTAAAGAACCATAGTGCACATGCTACCCAAGAATACACATGCCACCAATTTAAACCAAAGTCTGAACTGCAACTATAACCCCACCCTTAGATGTTTCTGATTCAAATTGATACACAGTGACAATGAACAGACTAAGTTGATTCACAATGCTTCAGTAATTCAAAAATAGCATGAGTCGAATTGCGATCATTCCAACTGAAACTAATTGACGACGTATATCGACTCGACTATACTAATTATAACATAGAACAAACAATCGACCAAACAAACATAAATAGGGCATAGACTATTCTTGACAATTTTGCACGATACAGGGGAAAACAACAGGCATTATTGGTTCGACGATATCAATTGAATTGAAATATGTATACTACTACACGGATTCAACACAACAGAATAAACAATCGACCAAATAAAAGATTTTACGAAGATGGAGCACAAACTGACCACAGAAATCCCAACATAAACGAACAAACTAAATAAACAGGCTGATAAACTAATCTAAACTAAAATAGACAACAAAAGGGAAAAAATGAACAAACCTGAAAAGCTTAAATACAGATGACCCAGGCCCGAGCTTGATTACCCATTTGAGGCCGGACAAACCCTAACCGAGGTGTTCTCGAATGAGAACACTTCGATTAGGATCTACTAGACCCCAAACTTTCGTTTTAATCCAACAGACTCCACAAATTCTTGTGTTCTAGGGTTCGATTCTTCAGATTTGGGTTTTTGGGATTTGTGGGTAGATTCAAACCAAACCAAGCTTGGTTTGGTCACGAGGGAGGTCAGGGGATTGTCTAGTGTGAATCTGGGGTGGTTTGGTGTAGGTCAAGGTCCGGCTCGAATCTTCAAAGAAAGATTCGAGATGGTGGGGGAGGATTCGAGACCTATGGTTAGTGGATCTGTGTTCAGGGGGTTGAGGTGGTCCTAGCGTGTTAAGGTGGGGGTCACCGGTGTCCATGCCGCCGGGTTTATGGTAAGGGAAAAGGGGGGCGGCTCTAGGGTTCCGTGGGGGTTTGGGTTAGGTGAAGGAGATGAAGACGAGGGAGGGGTGCTTGGATAGGGGGGCGGGGTACGAGATGGAGGTTTATATATGGGGTGGATGATTTGATCTC